TCATATTAGGTTTTCAGGAACGTGTTGGCGCTTTAAACTTTTTCTAATATTGCTATGATGCAAAGCCACCTCCCTGTTTTATTTATTTATTTTGTGAAATGGAGGGATGTTTTGAATGGTTGTGATACTTACTTAACTATCCTTACTGAGGAATCTTTTGCGGGGGGAGTTGTAACTTCTTTCTTGATTTTTTAATGCGTATTTAAGTAGGAGGACTGGTTGTTCTGCACATTTCGCCTGAGAGCAGAACCACATATTTGCAACCATTCCAAAAATAAAAATAAAAATGGGGGGTGCGGGCAGGAATCAAATGTTGGCCAGGAATCAGAAGCATGAAATCAAAAATCTAATTTTTAAAAACATGGTGCTGCCAACTGTGTTTCTGAATGTTTGAAAGCCATGTGGAAGTTCTCGTTGTCGTCTTTTGTCTTGGCGTACAGTATTTAAGGAACTTCATCAATGGAGGGCCTCCAGGTTATGCTCCTTATTGTGAAGAGAGACTCAGAAGGACGTTTGCCAATGGGACAAGAACTCAGCCACCAAGCTGGCTGGAACTTCAGGTAAAAAGTGCTTGATTTATGTAAGCCAATTGCAAGAGCCCAATATAATCTGTAAGGTGATGTTTTCCTCCATGAACTCAAAAGCACTCTTGAGGGGACAAACATCTGAAAGTTAATATTTCCAGAACCTTTGTTGTTCTTTAGGGCTCCATCTGCATTTTAAATTTAAAGCAGTCTTGTACCACTTTAAATAGTCATTGTTGTTGTTGTTTAGTCGTTTAGTTGTGTCCGACTCTTCGTGACCCCCTGGACCAGAGCACGCCAGGCACTCCTGTCTTCCACTGCCTCCCGCAGTTTGGTCAAACTCATGCTGGTAGCTTTGAGAACACTATCCAACCATCTCGTCCTCTGTCGTCCCCTTCTCCTTGTGCCCTCCATCTTTCCCAACATCAGGGTCTTTTCCAGAGAGTCTTCTCTTCTCATGAGGTGGCCAAAGTACTGGAGCCTCAGCTTCAGGATCTGTCCTTCCAGTGAGCACTCAGGGCTGATTTCCTTCAGAATGGATCAGTTTGATCTTGCAGTCCATGGGACTCTCAAGAGTCTCCTCCAGCACCAGAATTCAAAAGCCTCCATTGTTAGGCAATGAGCCTTCTTTATGGTCCAGTTCTCACTTCCATACATCACTACTGGGAAAACCATAGCATTTACTATACGGACCTTGAGAACTGTAGTTTGTTACGGCTTCCGGGAATCATCACCGCCACCATTATTATAATTTATAGACTGCCCTTCATTCATCGCAAGATCTCAGGGCACACAATACAAATACAAGATAAAAACACAGTAACTGAAACAAAAAACTATAACCACCCCCCTCCCAAAAACACATTTAAAAGGCCATAGAATATTAATCAGCCAATGGCCTGGTTGCAAAGGAATGTTTTCTCCTGGCACCTAAAATATATATAATGAAGGCACCAGGCGAATCTCCCCTATTCCCACCACAGAACTACAATTCCTGGATTGGTTTAACAATCTGAACTCTGGGAAAGAAACTCTGGGAAAGAAACTCTGGCACCCTTAACAAGCCACAGTTCCCAGGAATTTCTTTTGGGGAGACTGTTTAAAGTGGTATGATGCTGCCTTGAACGTGTGGTGCGTATGGGGTCTTATTTTAATCCTTTTTTTATTCTTATCTTTATTATTTATTGAATTTATATACTGCCCTATACCCAGAAGTCTCAGGGCAGTTCACAGAATAAAATCAATATATAAAACCACAAAATACCTAATAAAAATAAAGACAACTCAATAGCACACATACACCCGCAAAAAACAACAACACATTTTAAAAGGGTATAGGATGTAAATCAGATCAGCCAAAGGCCTAATAAAAATAAATACCTAATAAAAATAAAAACAACAACCCAATAACGCCCCCCCCCTAAAAAAAGCCACATTCTAAAAGGGTGTTGGATGTCAATAAGATCAACCAAAGGCCTGGTTAAAAAGGAATGTTTTTGCCTGGCGCCTAAAGGTGTGTAATGAAGGCGCCAGGCGAACATCCCTGGGGAGAGCATTCCACAGACACAGAGCCACTGCAGAGAAGGCCCCGTTCTTGTGTTGCCACCCTCCTGACCTCTTGAGGAGGAGGCACACGAAGAAGGGCCTCAGAAGGTGATCACAAGGTCCGGGTAGGTTCATATGGGAAGAGGCGGTCCTTGAGGTATTGCGTAGAACATTAAATATTTGCTACAATACCAAGCACGGGAGGAGATTTTACTGGAGGTCCTACATTAGGTCAAAAATCTGAAGCCTGCAATCTACAGTTGTCTTAGATTTTTATTATTATTATTTTTAAAAAATTAATGGCTTTCCTTCCTTCTGCTAGGCAACCAAATCTAAGAAGCCCATCATGCTGCCCGTGACGTTCATGGACGGAACGACCAAGACCTTGTTGACAGACTCCGCGACAACAGCCAAAGAGCTCTGCAACTCTTTGGCAGACAAGATAAGCCTGAAGGACCACTTTGGATTCTCGCTTTACATTGCTCTGTTCGACAAGGTAGGCCGCAGGTCTCCAGCATCCAACACAAACCATTTGTTCTTGTTTACAGAGATGAGGGAGAAATCCACTTCACATTTAATGGTGGACCTACATATTTTGCATTTTCCAAAGCAGTACGAGAACCAAAACACAGCCAGCCTTTGAAATTTGCACTTCTCTGAATTTTGCAATGCAGGTCTCCTACATTTTCTTGTAATATGTGATAAAAATACACGTGCTAGGGTGAAGTGTTCATAAAAATGCATGATTTATGATTTTATGCATGTTTTACCCTAGTATATGCATTTTTGTACACGTTACTTGGCACATACAAAATGTGTGTGAAATTTGTGTGTGTGTACACACACACACACACAATTACAAACAGGAAAAAGATTATACAAAATTTTCCATCCACTATCATAGGAGAAAGAAAACCCAAATCATAACTTTAAATTTAGAAAAATAATGAATATGGTACGATATCTTCACTAAATTTCTTGCTTGAGAAGGAAATAAACCTATTTTCTTACAATTTTTTTAAACTTCGTTGCTATTTTTGTGATGTTTTCAAAGCAACTTTTCATTGCTTTTATATAAGTCTCATGTTGAAGAAGATTCAGAAGATAACTGCTGTTACTACTACCGCTACGATGACGTTAGTAGGAATAATAATACCTAGGACCAGGGCCGGCCCAAGACATTTTGACACCTGAGGCAAACCACAAAATGGTGCCCCCCTCCTCACGAAGGGTGTGAGTGAATATCTATTTGAGGAACAAGGGGGGAATAAAGATCTACACTGGGATCTGCTGCCCCTGTGGAGCCTGCCGCCTGAGGCGGTTGCCTCATGTTGCCTCATGGGTGGGCCGGCCCTGTAAAGGACTCCAAGCTATAGCTCAGGGCCCCACTCTCTTGGTGGCCCCCCAAAAAATTAAAGGGGGAAAAACTGGATGTACATTTCCAAAATATAAGATAAAAAACAAATAAAATAAAACCTACATACAGCAACAGTGTTTTGTGTTGCGTAGGCTTCTATGATGTAAGTCATGGGCCCCGCCTGCTAGCCTGCTCCCTAAAAGATCACTCGTTTGCTCCTTTCTATATATAGGGTGCCTACATTCTGCTATTTATAATTATTAGTATTTTGCACCATACATTTACACCTATTATTATTTCATGTTATAGCAAGTTTCTGAAGCTTTGTCAATTGCGTTTCTAAAGGAACTTTTGTTATTGCCAAATGCCAATGTGTTTGCATTATTCAGTTTGTTATGAATAAAAGATAATTTTAAGTTAGAGCTTAATAATTATTTCACTATTAATAGACTTCTTCTGAATTGTATTTCAGTTGAGCAATTACTTTGATAAAATACATATTTTGTTATGTGCAAATGGCTTTTGATACCTATTAGGTCCATAAATTACCATATAGCATATATCCAACACAAAAAAACAGTGACAATTTGTTGTTGACAAAGGACAGCTGGACATATAATGGGCCCCATTACCTTCAGTAGCTTATGGCCTCATCAAACCTAAATCCAGCCCTGCCCACACAGCAACAAGGATACACTGAAGACCGGAATTTCCCACCATGAGAACCTTGGTTTTTTTAAAAAAATTAAAAAGCCAGGCAGCGCCTGCAGGTCTCAAACCGCTGGAAGTGATTAGAGCTGCGGTTCTTAACCTGTGGGTCCCCAGATGTTGTTGAACTACAACTCTCATCACCCCTAGCTAGCAAGGCCAGAGTTCAGGGGTGATGGGAGTTGTAGTCCAACAACATCTGGGGACCCACAGGTTGAGAACCGCTGGATTAGCGGATCTAAGCAATGCTTTTGTTTGATGGAACCGCTGGGCTGAGCTGGTGGTGAGGGTGCCAAACGTTTACCTGTTTTCCTCTCCCCTTTCCAGGTCTCCTCCCTCGGCAGCGGCAGCGACCACGTCATGGATGCCGTATCTCAGTGCGAGCAGTATGCCAAAGAGCAGGGGGCTCAGGAACGCAACGCCCCCTGGAGGCTGTTCTTCAGGAAGGAGATCTTCACGCCCTGGCACAACCCCAACGAGGACAACGTGGCGACGAACCTCATCTATCAACAGATCGTGAGAGGGGTGAAGTTTGGGGAATACCGGTGCGATAAGGTAAGCTGCTGGGCACATTTCCCCCCGTAAAAACCGGGGCTGAGATGAATTATTAGGATGAATTTTGGACAAACGTTGGCATCCCATGTGAAAAAGGGTATCCCGTCTGGTGGTTTGCGATGGGACTGTCAACAGAGTTTGCTCATTCTGACAGCAGGCGGACTTCGTACAGCGACTGCATAGAATCTTCAGGGGTTGGCAAGGTTTACCGGCCATGGACCGGATCACTCGCATGGAGATCGTCTGTGGGCTGGACTGGTGCAGCGCGATGCCGGAAATCTCGTTTGCGCATGTTCGCTGCACCGGAAATCGCTTCTGCGCATGCCCAGACGCCGAAAATCGCGCTTGCGCAGATGTGATTTCCGGTATCTGTGCATGTGCAGACGCAATTTCCGGTATCTGTGCGTGTGCAGACGCGATTTCCGGTATCTGTGCATGCGTAGACGCGATTTCTGGTATCTGTGCATGCGCAGACGCGATTTCTGGCGCCGCTCAGCGAGTTCCCCCAACCGCGCTGTGCTGGTTTAGTACAACGCACAGAGGACTCACCAAGTGAGCAGCTCAGTTTGGGAGTGGCTCATGGGCCGGTAAAACGGTCTTCGTGGGCCGCATCTGGCCCATGGACCACATGTTGCTGACCCGTGCACAGATGAATCTGACTGACTGTGGTCCTACAAGTTCAATAATGATAATGATAACAACGACAACATTTGTACCCCATCCATCTTACTGCGTTGCCCAAGCCACTCTGGGCAGCTTCCAGCATATACAGTACAAAAACATTTAGAGTAAAAACTTCAAGAAAGCATTCTCCTTGCTCAAAATTTTATCACATGAACACATCATGGCACATTTGTAATGTATTGATTTTATTTTGAACATTTTATCCCACTTTTCTAAATAAACTGGAAGGAAGTGGAAAGAAAAGTTTTTAAGTGTGAAACTTCGCTCCAGTCCATAATGCATTTATTTTTATTTATTGCATTTATATCCCATGTTTTCTGCTAAGGAGATGAAGGTGGTGTACATTGTTCTCCCCCAACAAAAGGTAAGTTTGGTATTGTTCACAATACCAAGAGATGCTAGTGACGTCGTAGATGGATGTTAATGAAGTTGTAGACAGGGTGCTGGCATTTTGCACCTGTTTCACCCTCTCCCAAGGTAGTTTTCCGGGCTTCTTCAGTGACCTTAGCCTTTTTTTCTTCTTTTTAAAAAAATACTATTTCTAAGCAAATCAGTCTCTTAAGCTTAAGCCAAGAAATAGTATTCTCTACTCCTCAGAGTAGTATTGTCTCTACTCCTCAGAGACAAAGGAAGGAAATTAAGAACAAGACCAGCAGAAGACAAAATAAAGTGCAGGTACAACTATGAAGAAGATTTGCAGAAGGGACATGGAAAAGAGCTAAGAGCCTCGGACATAAGATCACCAGGTTGATGGACTAGATGAAACAGATAGAAAGGACTGACAGAACCCGAGAACAGGAAGAAGAGACGGTGGATGAACATTGGCAGAAAGTTTAAAAATTTATTTAGAGAAATATTGCAAAATGACAACTGTTAGGAAAATCTTGGAATGAAACTATTAGGCTTTAGTAGAAATGTTATAAGGAGTTATGTATAAATAAGCTTTTAAGTTCTAGGTTTTTTTATGGTAAGATAAGGCTAAAATAAATTAAGACAATTAAAGGACAGAATACAGTGAAAGATGGAAAGGATTTGCTGAGACAATTAATAATTAGAATACAAAAAGGGAGGTGTGAGGAGGTCGAGGAAATAAGTTAATGAAGATAAGGGTATGGGAATATTGGATTTGTTTTTAAATTTATTTTTGTTGTTTTTGTTTTGGATTTCGGTGTATTGTATGTTTGGTATTTTTTATTTTCTTTTTATTGATCTGTACTGCTTAATCTCTTTTTTCTTTGTTTTTCTTTCTTCTCTTTTTTTTGTAACTTTAAATTCCCAATAAATATCATTTAAAAAAAAGGGAAAAAAGAAATAGTATTCTCTATGAAACTGAATATCAATATACGTATCAAGGCTTTGAGATTAGACCACTACATCCATCTACGACTTCACTAGCATCTCTCGGTATTGTGAACAACACCGGACTTACCTTTTGTTGGTATCTTCATGAACTTACCTAAAAAGATAAAGAAAACAAAAGACCGAGTTAAACATTTGAAAAATCCATTGAAACCAGACATTATAAGTTCATCTTAGGCTGAGTAGTTCGTAAGTCTCTGTGGCTTTGCACAAGGTTTTGTATTTTTCTCAGAAGATTGATAAAGCATGAATACTTATTTTGGTAATTATTGTGTGTATATAAGCTGGACTAGGTCCAGCAGGATCTTCTTATGTTCTGGTACTGCAGGAAGAATAGCTTCCTTTTTCCTCTTCCCAATTGTCTTTCCTGTGTTTTCCTGTTCCGGAACCCCTTGTGAGGAGAATCAGAACTTACAGGGTTAAACAGTTCTGTGTGACGTCTCACATTCTGAGGCGTGGTTTGGTTCACATAAGGGAATCTTTCTTTGTGTGTGTGTTTCCTTTCGTTTTTGGCTGAGAGACGAAAGAATGTCCGCTCTCTCGCCGGGACTGATTTATGATGTTTTTCTTCTCATTAAAGGCTGTTAGAGATTAGCAAGAAGCCTGCGTTCAGTTTGATTTATTATCCACACACAAGGCAACACTTTCTACCGCTGCTAAAGAACTCTGCTAAGAGCTTCAAAGAGCTCAAGTTTTCTATCGGCACAAGCGTCCAAAGGCACAGGGGAAGTGTGGCGGGCGCCATCTTATCCCACACCCCTTTCCCCACAGGAAGAAGACCTGGCAGAGCTGGCTTCCCAGCAGTACTACGTGGATTACGGGTCAGAAATGGTCTTGGAGCGGCTCCTGAACCTGATCCCCTCCTACATCCCCGACAGAGAGATCACGCCGTCGAAAACCATCGAGAAGTGGGCCCAGTTCATCATAGCTGCCCACAAAAAGGCACGTTGCTGAGCGCTCCTCCTGCAGAGAGGCTGCCGGAGTTTAGGAAAAAGCACTCCTTTTAAGTGGCGGCATCCTAATTTGAAATTTGCATCCATCCTTTATACGAACAGAAAACTCCTTCTCCTGGCCTGCTGTGCACCCCTATTGCCGTCTCCCAGCGCCCTTGACAAACTAGAACTCCCAGGAATTTTTTGGGGGGAGCATATGCACCAAATTAAGGGACGCAGGTGGCGCTGTGGGTTAAACCACTGCGCCGTTTGGACTTGCCGATCGGAAGGTCGGCGGTTCGAATCCCCACAACGGGGTGAGCTCCCATTGTTCGGTCCCAGCTCCTGCCAACCTAGCAGTTCGAAAGCACACCAATGCAAGTAGATAAATAGGTATCACTGCAGCAGGAAGGTAAACGGCGTTTCTGTGCACTGCTCTGGCTTCACCAGAAGCAGCTTAGTCATGCTGGCCACATGACCCTGGAAAACTGTCTGCGGAAGCGGACAAACGCCGGCTCCCTCTGCCAATAAAGCGAGATGAGCGCTGCAACCTCAGAGTTGTTCACGACTGGACTTAATGGTCAGGGGTCCCTTTAAGGTAAAGGCAAAGGGACCCCTGACCATTAGGTCCAGTTGTGGCTGACTCTGGGGTTGCAGCGCTCATCTCGCTTTATTGGCAGAGGGAGCTGGCGTACAGCTTCCGGGTCATGTGGCCAGCATGACTAAGCCGCTTCTGGCGAACCAGAGCAGCGCACGGAAACTCCGTTTACCTTCCCGCCAGAGCGGTACCTATTTATCTACTTGCACTTCACATGCTCTCGAACTGCTTGGTTGGCGGGAGCAGGAACCGAGCAACGGGAGCTCACCCCGTCACGGGGATTCGAACCGCCGACCTTCTGATCGGCAAGTCCTAGGCTCTGTGGTTTAACCCACAGCGCCACCCGAACCCACAGTGCCACCTACATTCACCTTTTTATGCACCAAATTGCCCTACAGCTTTAAACACATGCTTTGCAAATATAGAATCCAAGTTTAAATCCAGAGGTTTTCTTTTATCCAGACAGCAGATGATGCGAAAGATCTTTTGACAGGAGCTGCCACGCATCGAGCAAGCACCTAGTCCCCAACCTTGGTGCCCTCCAAGTATTTTGGACTACAACTCCCATCAGCCCCAGGCAGCAGGGGCAATAGTCAGGAATTATGGGAGTCGCAGTCCGAAAATATGGAAGGCACCAGGTTGGGAGAAGCTGGAGGGGACAATTCTGAACAAAGGGGAAGAAAGCATTACTGATCACAGATTATTCTTGAGTTAATAATGAGTTGTTTTCCTTTCATTGTTGTTGTTTTTTTAATCTCTTTACACACTTAATAGAGCAATCCGATGCATGTCTCCTGAGAAGTGAGTTCCACTGAGTTTAATGGGATTTATTCCCAGATGTGATATATCCTCCTGCCTTGCAGGACATCGTTGGGAGAAGAAAAGGCTAAAGAGTCAACCATACAAAAAACCAGAGTGGGGTCTCTAAGGTGGTTGGATGGCGCCTGATACGCCTCCTTCCTTTGGACCACATCAGTGAGGTCGAGAGGGAGGTCTAGTCGTCTGGGCAGCCCAGGACCTCCAGACACACTGCCCAGGCTTGCACCCCGGGGAGGCCGCTTCAGTGCTGCTAATTCGGGAGGCAGCAGTTACGAGTTCCTGATCTCTACAGCCACAGCAGGCGCTGTGATTCTCCAGTGGTTTGACTTCGTTCCCAGAGGTGCATTCCATTGTCTCTTGAGACACACACATGCGAACAACAACTCTATCTATCTAACTATCTAGGTTGGGGAACATGCAGCAACCCAGTTGTTGTTTAACTACAGCTCGCATCAGCCCCAACCAGAATAGTCAATGGTCAGGGGATGATGGGAATTGTAATCCAGCAACAGCCACTGGTTCCCCATTCCTGGGATATAGGATTGTGATCTAAGTACAGTGGGACCTCTACTTCTGTTCACAGAAGTATTTTTCCGGGTTTCGCCATGCGCGCATGCGCAGAAGCGTTCTACCGCGCCGCGCACATGTGCAGAAGCAGTCCTTCCTGTTACAGAAACCTCGGGATCCGACCGGAGCTCCGGAACGGATCCCGTCCGCAACCGGAGGTACCACTGTATCTTTATAGTGGGACAAGAGTACAACTGCTGAATATATTTTTGAGATTTCTCAGTGCTTCTTGATCCACCCAAAACCCTACAAGATGTTCACTGAGGTTTATCAACTTGGTGTTTTGTTTTTTTCTCTTTCCTACAGGGAATCTATACCCAGAAGCGAACGGATCCCAAGAAAGTCAAGGAAGACGTGGTGGATTTTGCCCGCTTCAAGTGGCCTTTGCTGTTCTCCAGATTCTATGAAGCTTTCAAGTTCTCAGGTAACCCCAAGAAACTAGGCCTCATGATATGTTGCCCCGCTCAACTATAGGCGTTGGTGGTGA